ATTTTAACCCAGGTGTCGTCAACATATCTGAACCAATGGCTCTGTGGCACCCCTGTACCGAGCCATTGGTTCAGATATGTTGACAAGGGAAGGAAAAATCAAGAAGAAGAAAGAGAAGGAGTACTAAGGAGTAATAAATATTAGTTTTGATTGATTTTAATGTTGGCAAATAAATAACAAAAGTAATGATTATATGCTTGTTGCAAAATGTGATTTAACTAATGTACTGTGATAATTAATGTGTTTTAATGTAAGATGGTGATTTAGAAAAGAAGTGTTATTGTATGTCTTAAAATGAAGAAAGGGTGTGTGCGCTACATTTGGACGGTAAAAAGGACAAACTGTACTAGAAGAAAGAGGAAGTGGGGCTTTTGTCTGGAAAGTCCCAGAGGCCCTGTGGTGAAAATAAGGCGGTTTTGACTCACCACGGAAAGTCCCTGACAGTCCTATTACCAGAATTAGCTAAATTACGTCACCCTGGAAAGTACACAAAAATCCAGTGGTGGAAAGCCCCAGCCTATCACATGATGGTAGAAACGGGGGTAAGATGGCCCAAAAAACAGTATAAAAAGGGAGCAGTTTCAGCAGTAAGTCGTCTTCTGGCCCCGTCTGGAGAAGAGGCAGCAAAGGCAAGGCCAACCCAAGAAGAGGAGCAACAGATCCAAGAGACATCTCATCTGGGACAAGCTGATACACTTCTCTCCAGCGATCTACAGTCCGAAGACCAGATTAAACAACCCAGCTTTGAGAAATTCTCTCTGGCAACAGTCTGCTCTTTTCATGGAGGTAAAACCAACCCTGCTTCTACTGTCCTGCCATCCAAATTAACAGAAAATGCCACACAGCTTAATCACAAGGTTAGGCCAGCGTCTTAGATCTTTTTATTTTTATCACAATCAATTATTATTCAATATTTTTAATCTGTATAATCAAATGTGGTTTTTCTTGCAAATTTCTATTAAACTGCTTACAGCATCATAAAGACAATTCCATGACTGGACATTGTTTTTTAAAGTTTTTCTCTGATTACATGAGTGTGATGTTACTTCAAAGCAACAAGGTATTAACATATTAATGAGTGTGTTTACTTTGAAGCCAAGAGGTAACGATAAGAGGTCATAAATCAATAATAAGTTCATTTTTAATGGTTATTAGCCTGGGGAGATAGGATAACTCCCTTTAATGGTGCATTCACACCAAATGCGATTTCAGCATCAGGAGCATCAGGTTTACATGCAAAGTCTATGGTGGACGCACTTCAATCAACGTCGGGAAGTGCTGCGGCGCCTCAAGCGCGATTAGAGCAGCGCGATTTGAACAATGTGAGCGTTCGACATGCTTGATGCGCAAATCGCTGAAGTTAGAAAATCTGAACTTTTGCAGCTCGACGCGCCGCGTCAACCAATCAGAGAGACTCCACTGTGTGACGTAGCGACATATTTCCCGACGGGACAGTTTACTGAATGATGTCCACTAACCTGAAACAGATGGAGAGGAGCTCTTTTGCTGAAATCGAGTGCCTGCAGTCCTGACAGGAGATATCCGCACCAATGCGTGGCAGCGGCTCATCAGACTGGACTCGGGACAAAAATAGTCC